AATTTAGTAAGTACTGCTTGAATACATTTTAAATAATTGAAGATTTTTTGCCTCAATTCATAAATTTTTGAAGGAATGTCTTCGCCAATTTTTGTATCGAAAAATTTTTCTGTTTTTTTAAATCATTTGAAATTTATGACATCCATGATAACTTCGAAATATTTTATACAATGTAGTATTTTTGAAAATCTTTTCATTGTAGTTATCGATTTGACACGTTTAAAAAAACTTACTTGGATATAATTTAAAAATAATTGATTTGATTATGCAATTTTTATGTTGTATGCAGTTATAAATTTGTAAACAATTTATTTTTTAGCATGGGAATGTTTAAAATTTTTGAAATTGAAGTTTAATAGTTTGAAAATTCATCCAATTTAAGTAAGAAACAATTCAATTAAATAAAATTATAAAATTAATATAATATTCCAAAAACTTTTTTTTGTCATAAATAAATTTTTACCAACAATTTTATAGTATGGGGATGGTTATGGGCCACCGCCCACGGCATCAGATGTTTATACCGGGACGGGTACTGATCCCGCAGCAGCTTCATTGGGTTATTTTGGTATGGGAGCATATCCACCGGTTGCTACCGCACCACCAACAATGCTTGCTGATCCGCTCAATGAACGAATGAAACGGGATAAGGAAGCGATCTATAAGTAAATTTTAAATATTTTAATTGCACTTACAAGTTTTTCATTTAGTTCAACAAATGGGAATATTCACCCCTTTTTTCTTCAATTCGGAAAATTGCTCCAACTGATACGGCGAATTTAAATTTTTGTTCATTAAATTTGGAAGAGAAGGAGAAATTTTGAAGGAAAGATGAACATATGAATATTAGCAGAGAGAGGTTACGAAAGATGTAGAAAGGGAGAATTTGAAAAAAAAGAGAATACAGTATCTTTGCGGATATTTCAGCAATGAAAGAAGCGCCATCTGTTTGATGCATTAATAAAGTGAATTAAGCTAGACGTTATCAATATATTTATGTATTAACAAATAATATTTTCGATGGAAGAGGAATCAGATGGTGCTAATACCGTTTTCCTTTAATTTCTTTAACATCAGGCATTATCTTTAATTCGTAGATGAATACGGTAAGGGAGGATAGGTAGTATCTGGGGATCAAAAAAAAGAATTGAATAAAACAAAGTTATATTATATCGGTCTATCTATTTATATGTATATCATGCTGGAATGGATAAATAAAATTTTAAAGCTACAATCGAAATTTAAATTTGAATTTTTCTCTTTCATATATCTTTTCTTATTTCAAAATATAGTAAAAATAATTTTTTACATTTTGCAGTCATCCATTGTTTCCATTATTATCGTGCCTTTTCGAGAAATGCGAGTTAGCAACGTGTACACCACGAGATCAGAATAGTACAGCAACGACAAGTTCAACGTCAACATCCTCAACAAATGACGTTTGCTCATCGGCATCATTTAAAGATGACCTTGCCGATTTTGCCAAAATGGTTAGTTGCGCCATGATAACCTTGAACCATTGATAAGTCTTCATCATATATTCTTTTTTCTTTTTTTGCATTTGTTGCATCAATCAAACTTTCTGATCGAATTATTTAGGTTTTACAAAGTTACATCTCTCTCATTCGCTTCCCTCTCTCTTCCTCTGTCATTTTTCCTCTTTTTCTCACTTATTGCTTTGATTTAAAAAAAATTAGTTTAAATTTTTTATCGCATTCTTTTTCGATTGCGAATATTTGTTACTGTATCTTGGGGAAAATATTATATACTTATTTTATATAATATTTGTAAAAATCTCAAATTATTACTACTATTTTTCATGCTTCTTTTCAGGTACAAAGTGAAAAGCCATATTATGTCCCAAATCCTGAAGTTGACACATTGGTATAATTTACTTCATATATAAACTAATCAAAAATTGAAATTAAATAACTTTTTTCCAAATAAACAAATTTTGAAGTCAATGATAAATAGGTAAAAAATATATCATAAAAAGGTATTAATTAAACATAAGATATGATTCAGGATATTTCAAAAATTTTACTTATCAAAATTTGTCATTTATAGATGTTGCAATCAATACAAGTCCTTCGTTTCCATTTATTAGAGCTGGAAAAGGTTAAATTTTACATTTTTTCTTTTCCTTTCAAAAAATTTTAATTTTACATTTTCTTTTTTTCGGACATTTTTAAAGTTTTTCTTTAATGTCTGTTCCTTAATATACTATTTTTCATTTAAACTACTCATTATCAATTTAATATTAGAAATAGCATTGAACATGAAAATATATTAATTACTTTTGAACTTCTATGCACTTATCATTACAAAGTATTATATAAGAAAAATTTTTTTTTTTTGATTTTTATTAATTTAAAAAATGGAAATCATATAAATATAAAATGTATTAATCTCATATAAAATCATATAAAATGTATTAATCTTTGTAAACTGATATTTACAACGATTCATCAAACACACACACACATACACACACATTCTTGTCTATAAATATCAAAGTGCAAATTATTCATTTATTTTGTAAAAAAAATTTTCGATGAAATTTAAAGTGCTAAACAATGATTAAATGAATAGATTCATTGGAATATTATTGTGAATTTTTTAAAATTTCTTTTACCATCCAAAATCAAACAAAGTAATTAGTTTAATGATGCAATAATTTTCAAATAAATTTGCCATATTTTTTATTAAACGACAACAAATTTAAAATGTTTTTTAAGGTGTTTCTATCACATCTACACTTAATGTGTCGAATATATGAGTTTGATTAATTATATCTGACATTTCTAACTTATACGAAATGCTTGGTTTTTGATAACTTACATTTTTTATAATTTTTGATAATTTAAAAAAAAATACATTTCCTTTCTCTCTTTCATTTTCTCTTTCTCTCACTTCCTCTATATTGAAACAATAATAAGCGATTATAGACTGTTGTGTGCCTCATAATGCATTCTTACAAATCGACCGCTTTTTTTGCTGTTGCTCACAGTATTCATTTCAGCAGTTATAATTTTAATTTTCAAGCAATCAAATAAAGCATATTTCCCATTACTTATCAATTATGCTCTACGATTAGCAGTACTATTACAATAATTACTGTAACAATAAGAGCAATAATTACTGTTGCTGTTTACAACAATTATTGCTTCTGGTACTAATAATACGTTTTTACTGCAATAGCAATAAGAACATTAGCAACTATTACTATGGCAATTACTATTATTATCAATATCATTGTCATTATCATAATTAAAAAGTATACAGTGTAACACATCATAAGCAATTTAAATCATGGTCTGTCTTAATAGTGATTGTATGATACGAATGATTGGAACAGCAAAAATGATAGGAGAAAAAAACGGACATGATTGATTTTAATTCATTTAAAATGATGAATCGTAAATTCATTCTTGATGTAATTTGCAAATTTTTTTGCAAAATTTGAAATAAAATTTAAATTTTATGAAAGTGCTTTTAACTCATAGAATATTGGATATTTTGCCATCGGATTACTGTTTAAATTTATATGAATAATAATGTTGCAATTTAAATCTGAATTTTAAAACATTATCATCATAAATAGTTTTCAAAATAAAAAAGTTAAATTAATGAGATGTTTGTACGGGCTTACTACCTTATTATTCAGATTTGCTTTGGAAATTATTGATAAGTTAATTATTGTGAATAAGAATGATAATTAAATAGCTGAAATCATAAGCTTAATTATCACGAAATCGTAGGAATAGTGATAGCTTTTTTCGTTATGCTAAAATGCACTAAATAGTAGTTGATAAATTACTGTTGTTAGAAAATATCTTTACAAAATTATTAACTGTATTATCGTAAAATTAATGTAAATCTAGAGATCTTCGCCTTTTTTTTTTCTTAAAATTCTTTTTTAAATTAAATCATCTCATAATATGTTAAAAAAACTGCAATTCTTTGTGTTATTTCCAATTACTTTTTAGTTCTTGTTTTTTCTTTTTTCGAACAAAAAATACAAAGTTAATTATTAATTGTCAGTTACATTAGAAACTTCAAGCTATTTAACAACATTTGTTTGAAAAATTTTAAAAAAAAATAAAATAAAAAAAGTAAAATAAAAAGGAAAGCAAGATAAGCTGCAGAACAGTGAAAATACAGCTCTTATTTGATATGATTTCAACAAAATAAAAAAGGGAACGGGGAAATTTTAAAATTTTTAAGAAATTTAAATTTATTATCTAGTTTGCCAAAAAAAGTAAAAGTGATAGAAAAGAAACAAATTTGATAATTTATGAAAATTGATGAACTTTTTAAAAAACACAAAACCTTTTCTATTATAATATTATTATTTTTCTTACTAGTTTTTTATTGACTTTTCTTTCATTTTTATAAGAAAATTGAGAACTCAAATTACTCAACAATATTTGTTTAATAGATAGAAAATCAGAAAAAAGAGCTATAAATTAATTTTGATTTTAAATTAATCATATCATTCATTGAATTCATGGCAGAATAGCTTTCTTTTTTCTTTTTGCATTGATAATGATTAAACTAATAATTATATAATTGCTAAGTGCAAGTATGCTTAATTTTTTAGTTATTTGATTATTTTAACTAATATTCATGTAACAAATGGTTTCCTTTTTTTCTTTTGAAAATTTAAATTATGGTGATCTTATATTTTGTATTTTTCTTATTAAAAAGGGGATTATATTATACGATACTTATTGCACCGTAGTACTGTAGCTTGTTGCATACTGTACTCCATTGCAGTACAAGGCTAAATGAATTATTATTATCATTGAAATTAATTTATTAATTTCATTTCATGATCCATCACTGTATTTATATGATTAAACATTATGAACTTCTACGATAATGCAATATAATTTTTATGCCATCATAAAGCATACAAAAAAGAGATCAAAGAATAAATGAAAAAAAAATGAGAATTTCTTTTCGTCATAGAATTAAAATTTTCAAATTTTTGCAACTGTGTTTAATTAATAAATTTTTATTTACAATATAAGATTTATTTTAATATTGCATTAAACGATAAGGAAGAAGAAGAAAAAGAAAGAGGCAAATTGTTGTTCCACGTTGTGTTGTAAAAAAAAAATGATATAAGACCTCCTGCTGTAAGCATGTTACTGAAGAATATATTTGATTGAAATTGAATTGAAAACTAAACGTTCCTTTCGCTACGGATGTGATACTGTCAAACTTTTTTTTTAAAATACCGGTTTTTCATTTAATCGACGACGTACGATATTATATACCTACCACATTTTTCCGACAAAGACAAGATGGACGTACAAATGGTAGACAGATTGATGAATTAGATCGAAAGATTGATTGAATAAATGGATGAATGAATGAATGAATGAATGGTTGAGATCATTGAACGGACATTACAGACAACACACATATGCACAGCTGTCAGTAAAGTTTTGTTTAGAAAAAACCTTTTCTTTTTTGAGATTTTAAAGAATTAAATAAATTGAAACTTAAAGAAATGAAAAAGAGTCGGGAGGGGGTTTTTTTTTTCATTCTTTCTTGCTTAATTTTTTGTTTTCTTTTTGTTTTTTTTCTCTTCATCATTTCATTTGTTAGGATAATAATTAATGGCAAGTAGCATTTTTAGTTGGATATTGCATGACCAAAAAAAGAAAAGAAAAGAAAATGAAATCTGAAATGTTAGCAATCAGAATTTGCTGCAAAAGAATAAAAATAAAAAGAATGAACTATGCTGATAAATTAATGACGATAGATTTATTGATAATTTTTAAAATGAATGAATTTGAAGAAAAATGATGAGCAATTAATAAAATGTTAATTGAATGGTGAAAATTATCATAATTTTAATTCACTATTTTGCTGAAAAGATGAAAAAAAGGAACAAAAAACGAATTTAAAATATGGCTAAATGAAATCGATAATTATTTAAAGGGTATATACATTGGCATTCAGTTTAAAAGAAAATTTTAAATAATTTTGATTTGTTTTATTTTAATACAGCAGCAAAATTTGAATGAATATATTATTGTAATTGTTATATGAATCACATTTGTTGCATTGAAAATAGCACATACAATCACATTTAAATTCGAAAATATTTATTGGCCTAAATAATTGAAAAAGTTCGGAAAAAAATTGGAATTGATTAATTTTTATAAAATGTGATAGTGATTGATAATTATAATATGAAAAGCTGTTGCAATTATTAAAAGATATAAAAGAGCTAAAGTATAACAATATTGATTGATTTTTTGGAGAATCAAAGTTATATTTTAAGAAATTATTAATACTAATATTTATAAATCTAGTATTTTAAGAAATTGTTAGTAATAATATTCCTTTTCTTTTTTTGGATAATCGTTCCTTTCATCTTCTCCTTTTCTCTTTTTTCCTTTATCACATTATCAATTAACTAACATAATGATAATTTTAGGTACACGAATTATGTGATAATTTTTGTCACCGGTATGTAACCTGTTTAAAAGGTAAAATGCCAATGGATATTGTCGGTGAGGAACGTGCAAGCAGTTCACAAACACCTGTTTCACCTAGCACCGCTGCTCCTTCATCTAGTCCTTCTATGAGTACACCAATCGGGTAAATTACTTTTCCTCTTAAAATAAATGCGGAATAAATTTGACGATATGTAATTTTAAAATGAAAATTTTTTAATTTTAATTTACACATTAATATGCTAAAATGTTACTTTAAAATGAGCTTATTCATTTATTAAATTTAAACATATCCTGTTCAATTATAAATTAAAAATTTTTGCAGTTCACAATATCAGCCAACTCCTTATGAACCGCAATCTGTGCCATTGCCCGAAAATACCACAGCTGTTTCATCCGGACATGATGTTAGTG